CATCTCCAAACGGAGGCAACTCCTGACGAAACTCACTGCCCCGCAATCCACGAGGATCACCCATGGAAGAAACTCGACTTCAGTCCTGTGAAGAAACTCTTCAATCAAACAATGCTCCAAATGTCTCAGTATGTACTGGGAAACGACAACATTCAATATCGTAGGCCTGGAGTACCTTTTTCACCTTGCTGAAGATCATCATTTGCAAAGGGAAGCATCTTTGTAACTGGTAGCAAGGGTTTCCAAATGCAAGGAACCCTTTTAGCAAGAAGTACTCTCAAACAAATGCATGCTGGAGTCTACACTGGAACTTAATCAACTTAAGTGGCAGTTAGACTCAGAAAATGTTCTTCTTCTTTCTTCTTCCTTTCTTCTTTCTCCTAAATTGTTGAAACTTTGCGGTGGCGCCTTCTCATCACTTGAAGCATGTGATGCTTCCTGTCGCTAAGTTCGTGGACAAAAATCGCAGCATTCCATCTTTGTGGGAAGGCAGCCCACATTGTGATTCTTGAAGCAAATGCCCTGGAAAAAGAGCAATCCATCCCGCAGCCTTCGCCACCTTCTCTTCCGCCTTTTTGCTATCCTCGCTCATCATGGTCACTACCTATGGCCAGATTATGAGCTCTTGGTACCCAAGGACGCTACTAGGGGCTCCTGGCATCGCTACTAGTAACAAGAAGCTACTAGGGCTCCTGGCCGTACTACTAGGAGCAAGGACGCTACTAGGGGCTCCTGGCCGCTACTAGGGGCTCCTGGCCGCTACTAGGGGCTCCTTCCAATGGCAACAGCAAAGCTACCGAAAGCTGCACCTACATGCCAATGGGCAACGTGTGCTACGTGTTCCCTTAGACGAAGGACTAGTGCAACATTGATATCCCAACACCCCACCCCGCATCAAATCGCTTCATGAACATCTTGCAACATTGCAACTAGTGCGATGACTGTGCGTTGCCTCTTTAAGACTTGCGATGGCATCCTCGAAGCCTTCGTCGCCAAATGGGGGTGCCTTTGGATCTCACATTCAGACGCTCCACATTGCGACACAGAAACAGGACAAAAAGACTAAGGGGAGGGAGAAAATAAACGTATATCGGAATCAAAACATCCACTGCCAGGAATAATTCCATCTCTCTCCGTGTCGCTTAGTTGGAAGATATCCAGATTTTAAAGCAGAACGTTCATCTGTAGCATTGTAAGCAAGACTTTCTTGATCCGCTTTTGGCATGCCTCTGGCACAAGCTCAGCAAGAACCTGACCCAAAACCCCACACCACTCCACATGCTTTGTTTCACACTCATGACACACATGCTCAAATCATGCCACTCTCGTGTGTCACACATGAGGGAGACCTGTTGCAGCTTTTGCCCTAGAATCCAATCACCGACATTCATGTTCCTAGAAGCGTCCTTGCTCCGACCCCCCCCCGCTTCATTGGTACTAGTAGCATTCTTGCTCCTAGTAGCGATGCCAGGAGCCCCTAGTAGCTTCTTGTTACTACTAGTAAGGCACTTGTTACTACAAGCGAGGCACTTGTTACTACAAGCGAGGATTCTAATTACTTTTAATTAATTTTACTATTGTTTCTACTAGCTTCTTGTTCCTAGTAGTAAGGCACTTGTTACTAGTAGCGATGCACTTGTTCCTAGTAGCTTATTGTTTCTAATAGCAAACATTGCTCCTAGTAGTACGGCCAGGAGCCCCTAGTAGCGATGCCATGGCCTTCTGCAAATCTGCCAGTGGAGCATCGAAGCTTCCCAGGTCCTGTCTTCAGCATGACACTTCTTTCCAAAAGGAAGAAAGACATTCGCTTGTAGAAAAAGATCGGACAATTGAAACAAAAAGAAAGAACGCTCAATTGATTTGGCAAGGACGCTACTAGGGGCTCCTGGCCTTACTACTAGGAGCAAGGACGCTACTAGGAGCAAAGGGCATCGCTACTAGGAGCAAAAATGGGTCTGAAGGAGATGCTTTTGCAGATGACATGTGCCTCTCCACGTCTCCACCCTTACCGAGATTCGCACCTCGAGTGGAACTTCCTGGCTTCGTGGGGCCGTTAGACTAGAGACAACTCGTTCTTGCAGAACACGCAGAACATCTGCAAACGTTCTTCTTATCCTGATTTTGAAGCCGTTCTTTTTGGAAGAAACGACATTTCACACATCAGTTAAGTCCCGGGTACTCCTCCGACTCAAAGATTGGTGTCCTGGCCTCTTCAGAAGCCGCCTTCAACACTTTGAGCCTCAAGATGACAAATACTGGCCAACTCGCCCGGATTTAGATGAACTACGATCATCACGACAAAGGATTTGCACAAATCAACCAGGGCGCCTTGGTCATCCAACACAATAATTTTTCAGCGTTTCTGCTGGCGAAGCTGGGATTTCAATGACCAGATCAAAGCCTCAGGTATAGAATGTCCTACTGTACCCGCATTAGCAAATCAAATAGCTCTTCTGTTTAAGGAATGGACGTTTGTACCTTCTATTGCTAGAAAAAACTTTTGTGTTTCTTACTGGTTCTTCCTGTTTGTCTTTCCTTCCATCCTTTATTTTTTCTCTAGACCTTTCTTCCTTACTACTCCTATGTACTCCTTACGTTTGTACAGAACAGTTTGCTTTGTTTTTTGCGGATCATTGGTGGCATTCTTTGTGCCCAAGACGCTGAGTCTTGCCCAACACGCCGTCCAAACGCACTCCTTTCGTCCAGTGCACCAGGCTGCCGGGCGCATCCACCAAGTCGGCAATTGGCACATCGAAATGAGCCAACTCATCTAGCATACACCATTGGCCAATGCTACTATGCAAGAACACTTCTTCAAGGACAACAAAAACAACAATGAAGACACTTTTTGAAAACCCAGGGCGGCGGCAGACCGGATCCCGCTTTTGACCTTGACGCTGCAGCCACATTATGGCGCCACTTTCCTAGTACTGCGACGTTACATTCCCTGACGCCACATTCCCCCCTCACGCCGCATTACCCCCTGACGCCGCATTCTGGCGCCGCATTCCCTGACGCCACATTACCCCCTGACGCCGCATTCTTCCCTGACGCCACATTCCTCCCCTGACGCCACATTACTCCCTGACGCCACATTTGACGCCACATTCCCTGACGCCGCATCCCCCCCTGACGCCGCATTCCCCCCTGACACCGCATTCTGGCGCCGCATTCCCTGGCCACATTGTGGCGCCACATTCCCTGACGCCGCATTTGCCCGTGACGCCACATTACTCCCTGACGCCGCATTCTGGCGCCGCATTCCCTGACGCCACATGGCCCCTTTGACGCCGCATTACCCCCTGACGCCACATTGTGACGCCGCATTCCCTGACGTGACAGGACCCCGTCTGATGCTCCAAACTGCACGAAACGGTTCTTCGTAGCAGGGGCCGTTTTGACACTGTTGAAGCAGCAGGCAACCCCAACACATGTCCAAGATATGGCAGAACACACAGCGCAACAATTGGACATTGTGTTGTATTAAAAGGTAAGAAGCCCCCGTACCGCGCACGGTATGATATCAAAAATCCGGCGATCGGTCCCAATCCCGAACCCCAAATCCATGGGGGAAAAAAGATGGAAAAAGGATCACTTAGGACATCCCTGCGGACGAACTCCCAGTCCCTGCGGTCAACTTCCACCCTCGGAAGACCCTCAGAGTACCGACTGGCATCCATGGCATCCATGGCATCTCCAGATCTCCTCCTCTTCGCTATCCATGCCGACCAATGGCTTAGCTCACAGCTGTGAGCCCAAGAAGCAATGGCCATGATGATCATGACGGGATGTGCAAATCTTCGGGTAACTACTATAGCCTATAGCCATAAACAACGGCTGCTGTGGAACGCAGACCATAAACATGCTACCTCCACGTACATGGCAGCACATGAAGCGGCAATCAAAGATTTCTGCTGCTATAAACTGCATCTTCAGCCATCGGCACATATCTGCTCAATCCGATCCAACATTGCCATCAGAATTCGTCTCCGGAAAGCGTCTTCGGGGTCTAATTCGTCTTCGGGGTCTAATTCGTCTTCGGGGTCTAATTCGTCTTCGGAGAATTCGTCTGCGGAAAGCGTCTTCGGGGTCTA